AGAGAGAGAGAGAGAGAGAGAGAGAGAGAGAGAGAGAGAGAGAGAGAGAGAGAGAGAGAGAGAGAGAGAGAGAGAGAGAGGGAGGGAGAGGGAGGGGTGTTCATTGTTAAATGGAGAACACGGTTTTTTAGGCTTCGCCGACAATGATATGGTGTGTTGGCATTCAATTGCATGCGTGGGGTCTTTCTGCGACGGTGATACATGTAATGCCACCTCTGTAATGTGTGCCTCACGCCAGTGTTTGTTGTGCATGTGATTGTGTATGGTGTGCCTCACGCCAATGTTTGTTGTTCATCTAGACTGCACCTGTGCGTACCTTGCTAGTGTAAAGTGTTAGGAGAAAACGGAAGGGAAGATCAATGGTATTCAACACTAGATGATCAGTACAAATTCTTTTGAGAGCTTTAAGTTTGAAGGCTATGCAACAGGAAGTTGTCCAACACACAGAAGCACAACGACTCCCCCCCCCACGAATGTCACTGCGGGTTGTACCACACAACTGAAAAATAAGCAAGAATGTCGACAACAAACAACATCACACACCATCCACACGCACAGGTTGAGAAAGAACAGAGCAATGCAAAAGAAAGGGAGTCCAAACAACCATCACGAACAGACCTTTCTCTGTAAAAGAAACACTTTCATGGGAAAAGTACCAACACAATTGCCGATACAGGGGCCGGATGCCATGTGCAAATTTCAAAACGCACAAATCTCCAAATGTACGAAAGAAAAGTAAGTAACCAACCAACGGCACACGGCTACTACCAAAAAAAGGCAACCCGTGACACTTGTCAAGGTCGTGGCGTCCCACAATGCGGACACGTCACTGCCTACGTGACACCCAAGGCCGCGGATCCTGCGACTTAGGAGGCGGCCGAGGAGGCCGACCGTGGGCCCGCGACCGAGGCCGCGTGTCCGATTTTCCGCGCGGCCGCCCCAGGCCCAGGCGGGGGCACGCATGGGAAAACGGCGCGCGTGCGAGGCCGTCGCAGGTCGGCCTCTAAGGCCCGTTAAAAAAAATAATAATAATAAAAAAATTGGAGGGGTGTTTTTTGGTATGTGAGAAAAAAAATAAATATTGATTGATTGATTGATTGATTGATTGGTGGGGGAGGGGTCGTCCCGCCCCTCCCCCCGGCACACACACACACACACACACACACAC